TTTGTGTCTACCACAGTAACTATAAGTGTTATTGTGTCTACCACAATAACTATAAGTGGTTTTGTGTCTACCGCAATAACTATAAGTGCTTTTGTGTCTAACACAGTAACTATAAATGCGTTTGTGACTACCACAGTAACTATAAATGCTTTTGTGATGCAGCTTATTGTTATATGATGCCCAAAGTTTAATTTCGAACATTAAGCTACACACAGCTAATGCATAATTTGCAGGCGCTGCAGCCAATGGTCCTATTCTGCCAGTTTAACAATGACTGACTTGGAAACGATTCAATTTTCACACACATTCTCTTGTTCACATTTGCAATACAAGTGTGGCTTTTGGAAGAGCTCTGGACATACATGTTTGATGCCCAATGTGCATGTGTATTAAACAATGAAAAGTGTTATTGTAATAGCTAATATGGTAGAGTTTATATTTAGCATTTTTGTATGAATTTTACCCAGCCAAAGTGATATAACTTATTTCTGTTAACATGTTAAGATGTTAAGCTGGATCAGGTGATTTAAATACAACAAATATCAGTGATAGCGTACCTCACCATGATTGTAGAAAAAGCTTGCAACGGTCAAAATTCCACCAAAAACACTGCCACTGCAAGAACAAACCAAAATAGTGAAGAATTGGTCAACATTCTCCCAAAATATCACCGACACAGCCACTGTAAAAATATACCCCAATGTTTATTCAACAATCAGTCCCTATTTCATTTTGTTACTTGTCAAGGTAATGTTTGAGTGTTCAGTTAGTACTCCTCAGTTATATAACATTTCTCATATAGATCAGTTTATATACAAAACCAAGTCCCCATAGTAATCGCCCTTAGTTACTAACAGTGTAAGAACGTTAACCTCAGTATGCTGTACTCACCTCAGTATGCTGTACTCACCTCAGTATGTACCAAAGAGGAGTTACTACCAGTGTAAGAACCTCAGTATGCTGTACTCACCTCAGGTATGTACCAAAGAGGAGTTACTACCAGTGAAAGAACCTCAGTATGCTGTACTCACCTCAGGTAAGTACCAAAGAGGAAGAAGACACTCATCATTACTCGCAACCATAGTATGAAGTCCCCATAGTAATTGCCCTTAGTTACTACCAGTGTAAGAACCTCAGTATGCTGTACTCACCTCAGGTATGTACCAAAGAGGAAGAAGACACTCATCATTACTCCATTGAGGAAAAAGACATTTTCTATGTAGAAATAGGATGGTTCTCCTAGACCTGGACCAACAAATAATAAAACATACAATGGGTCTCCTAGACCTGGACCAACAAAAAATAAAACATACAATGGTTCTCCTAGGCCTGGACCAACAAATAATAAAAAATACAATGGTTCTCCTAGACCTGGACCAACAAATAATAAAACATACAATGGCTCTCCTAGACCTGGACCAACAAAAAATAAAACATACAATGGTTCTCCTAAACCTGGACCAACAAATAATAAAACATACAATGGTTCTCCTAGACCTGGACCAACAAATAATAAAACTTGCAACACATGTACATTTCCTCCTGATTTACTTTTATATTACTCCACTGGGCTCTGTATGTACTGTCCTCACCTTTCTAACTTGATACTTTTTAGTGTACATCAGTAGGTATACCATTATCAATTCCAACTTGCCCGTGCCAAGGCGACCAGGGTTCAATTCCCTGATCAGACGTGAAAAGATATATGGGGTCACCTGCCCAACCACGTGGGTTTTCTTCGGGTACTCCGGTTTCCTCTCACATTAAGACCCCTTGCCCGCCAATACACGGGCAAGCAAGAGTGATTAATATAAGTTGCAATAATTTAATTGTTGTAAAATAAATAAAGTTTACATTTTCTTTTCTAACCTAACAAGTAACAAATAAGAGTACCTTCACAGCTCTGTACGGGAGTTTTGCCCTCTCCTCGGTTAACAGTCCAGCACTGCTTAGTAGGTTTTTTCAGGTAAGCCCAGAAACTTTCATAAGCCCGGTATCCCACTGCCAATGCTGCCTGTAGTCAAGAGAAAGCTGAAGTTACCGTCACTGACTTGAGGATGTAAATATGTCATTTTGGCTGTTAATGACGAGAAACTAGAAAACTGACAGGTCAGCAAGAGCCCCGCCATGGATATCTTCCTGATAGTCACCAAGCTGAAGGGCCAATGATCACTTCATATTTTGAAAAATTAACAATAAACTATTACACAAACATTGATGGATGCGTATACTTACCTCAGTATGCTGTACCCTCCAATGGTCTACTTTAGTACGTGATCTTGACCTTATATATTAGGAACTTATAAAACCTTTATGCAGATTTTCAAATCACGGTATATCATCATGTCAATATTTTAAAAAGATCAGTATTTTAGATTCTATGATAATTTTTGCAAATGAAAGAGTGGACAGATAGATGGACAGAGAGTCACTATGATTACAATAGGGCAGATGCGGGGCTCTAGAAAATAAGTACCTCTGGGTACAAGTTGAATCGTTTCAGAGTGTTGATCGTGAGGGGGTACTCGGTGATATTGTCGTACATAATCTTATTCAGCCCGTTGTTAAACGTGTTAGTCTCTATCATTGTCTTGTAGTAGGAGTAATACAGCCCCTGGAAGAAAACACAAATCATGTTTAATGATAAATTCTTACAAGGACAAGACTTCTTACAAGGACAAGAAATATCCTAATAAACTAGGACTAGTGAAAATTTCATCAAAACTACTGGTAGTAAAAGTTCTCAGCCCGAACCAGCAATGTATCAGTGTTTTATTGAGACACACAGAAAATTTGCACAAAATTCTGTCATTTGCATAAAAGAGGTTAGTGATAGTCTACTAATTAAAAAACGAACATTTGTTTTCAATTTTCAGTATGGAATAGCTGTCCCAATGGTTGATTCTGGCTCCAAAAGGACTGGTTGCTGGTCACATTGACTAGGTGATTGCAACACAATGTCACTGCATAGCAAAAGAATGCCCGAGACATCATAATTATTGTTATAGACAGGTTGTTGCTTAACAGGTGTCACTATAGACAGGTTTGACTGTAACACATTTATCTTTTTGTTTTAAATGGTTTACAATGGTTTGGCTGGTAGTGTTAAGGTCTTGCTAGTAAATTTCAATACGTACTCATCATAACCCAAAGAACCAAAAAGGAAAGCCAATTATTGAAAGTAGATCTGATATATATATGTAACACAAATAAATCAGTGATATAAAATATATCTATAAACATCAATTGAAAATGAAAAAAAATGGTTCATGTAACCTTTTTCTTATATTGTATTCAGTGTATTTTGCACTCAGACTGGTTGAAAATTGGCTGAATTAATTGGGGCACTAATTAAGATAC